GGAATCTACGTCTCTCTCTCTCTCATCATCATCATCACGGTGGCTAGGAGATGTTGACTACCTCGCCTGGTATGCAGGAGGTTCGTGGGTTCAATCCCGACCCTGACGCCTGCTGTGTATTTGGAATCTGCGTCTCTCTCTCTCATCATCATTATCATCATGGTGGCTAGGAGATGTTAACTACCTCGTCTGGTATACAGCAGGAGGTTCGTGGGTTCCATCCCGACCCTGACGCCTGCTGTGTATTTGTAATCTGCGTCTCTCTCTCTCATCATCATCATCATCACGGTGGCTAGGAGATGTTAACTACCTCGCCTGGTATGCAGGATGTCGTGGGTTCGATCTCGATCCCGACCCTGACGCCTGCTGCTGTATTTTTGGAGTTTGCGTGTCTCTCTCTCTCCGTGGTCGTGTGGATTTTTCTCCGGGTCCTCCGGTTTGTCCCTGCACGTTCAGAAACCTGAGTTTAGAGTATTTGGCTGGTTCTATAAAATTACAGATGATGATGATGATAAGCCACTTCATTGCGCTATAATGTGTGGCCAGGTCACTTGTGAAAAATAGCTACATAGCTCAGTGGGCCTTACCTGGTAACTTAAAAATGTAGTGGTAGTAATAGCATAGTATATTGTTTTATATTATTTTAGCCGGGTGGTGGTGGTGGTGGCTACGCTGCTGCTGCTGCTGCACATGGGCTGCCTCTAACCCAGCACTGTGGACGTAGAAGCGAGCGGATTTGTGGATCACCAACAGAGGGTGTCGTGAAACTCCCTTCCTCTCCTTCCGCACGACCGGATTAAGATGTTCGCGGGATCCAACGTGGAACTCCAACCTGTTCCACCTGTACGGGATCGAGCGTTACCCCCTCGCAGCGCGTGGGGGTTTTCTTTTTCCGTTTACTTTTCCCGGGTGCCCCGGCTTCCTCCCGCACGCACATAGACGCGCATTCGTCGGCCGATGCCACCTCAAGAGGACCACAGAGCTCGGGAAATCGTTGGCAGGGGCTCTCCTTGCGGCTCATTGATGCCATCGAGACTTGCCAGGTCGCGTCTGAGAAAAAGAAAAAAAAACACGAACGAATAAGCTCAGTGGGCTTTGCCGGGTAAAAAAAAAAATTACTTAAAAAAAATTACTTTAAAAAGTATTTTTTTAAAGTGAATAATTTACTTTTCCTATATTTTGTACTCCCTGCGGTGTTCTTTTTGGTTTTTTTCGATGAAGCCACGGAGTTGGATGTCTTGGTGAGAATAGGTTTTCCCCTTTTTTCTGGCAACAAAACAGTTGTGTTAAGATGTTAAAACACCAAACTGAAATATTTTTTTTGATTTACGAGGAATCACGTTCTGCATTAACCACAACGCTTGTGGTCAGAATGCAAACAAAAAAAAACACACTCTGATAATCTATGATGATGCATTGTCTTCGAAACTGATTGGTCCACACCAGAGACGGCTTTCTTTTGAGCCTCGTCTCAAAACGGTGCTAGACCAGAGGACGCCGAAAGGCCTTTTGGCGTCCTCTGGTCTAATGCAGACATGATTCCTTGTAAAAGATTTCAGTTTGGTGTTTTAACATCTTAACATCTGCATTGGTGCCAGAAAATAAAGGGGAAAACCTATTATCATATTTTGGTACTGTGTTTGTTGTTTTTTTAAAACTTCGTGACCTACCCCCCCCCGCCGTGCCCCCCCCCCCCCCCCCACCGCCCCCCCGGTGGACCCAGTCGGGTGGATGCGCAACCGGATGAGTCCACCAGGTGGAGCACAAGAGCGGTGAGCTCTTGGGGTGGGCCCCTATGCACGCGTGTGTGTACGTGTGTGTACGCGTGTGTACGTGTGTACGTGTGTGTACGTGTGCACGTGTGTACGTGTGTACGTGTGTACGTCGAAATTCTTTCGCACCGTACGTAGCCACCCGCGCTAATCGGAGGTGCGGGAGGACAGCAAAACTGTGGGTCTCCGTGTGAGTCTATAGGTGTCTGTGTGAGTCTATGGGTCTCCGTGTGAGTCTATGGGTCTCCGTGTGAGTCTATGGGTCTCCGTGTGAGTCTATGGGTCTCCGTGTGAGTCTATGGGTCTCCGTGTGAGTCTGTGCGTCTCTGTGTGAGTCTATGGGTCTTTGTGTGAGTCTATGGGTCTCTGTGTGAGTCTATGGGTCTCTGTGTGTGTCTATGGGTCTCTGTGTGAGTCTATGGGTCTCTGTGTGAGTATATGTACGTGTGTATATACCATACATACCCGCCGTACGGATGCTTCAGGATATGTTGGGGAGCAATGCGGATGTTAACACGTGGGAGCTGCTGAAGCGGTGATGAATCTGCACGTTTGTTAATCACGTGACAGCTCTATGATTTGTCCGCGTCGGGTGGAGGACGGTTATACGACACAACAATTGTACTCGAGCACGCGATCTGAGCCAGCGAAGAATAATCAATTTCTGAATCACGGTATTGGCCTCGAAAAACCCTACATTATATATATAAAATGACACATCTATCATACTTGGAATATTGCCAGAAGAAATTGAGTTGTATTGTCTGTGTTGTTTACGATTGGGCAGCCGTATGTCCTCGCTGGCATTCTTCAACAGATCCCGCTCTGCACTTGGAACGTAGCGGATGTGATTGCTCTTTCAAATACGTTCGAGATATCGTATGTTTTCTGAAATTTGGTACGAAGAGAATTGTCTAGTTTTTTATTAATTACGTGCGTGTGTGTAACATTCATGTTACACGCGCTACGAACCTGGCGACCCCGGTTCGATTCCCGCTCACGGCCAACGCCGGTGACGATTATTTTAACCGGTCCTTGGCCTCCTCTAGGTCGACTCAGCTTCAAATGAGTACCTGGTGCGGTGTGTAAACATCGCCACTGGGGAGACAAAGGCGGCCGGCCGTGGTGCTGGCCACCCACCCCCTCGTGTGCCGTGCCGGCCTTCATAGGTGCTCGCTAACAGCACTTGCCCCAACAGTCTGTTCAGGCTATACGGAGGATATTTTTTTTGCAGCAGATAGTACTGTACTCAAATGAGTACCTGGTATGGTGTATGAACATCAGCACTGGGGAGACAAAGGCGGCCGGGCGTGGTGTTGGTCACCACATCTTCTTTCCGTGCGGTTCCGGCCTTCCCGAAGTCTCGATAGCAGCATTTGCACCAACAGTCTGTTAAAAAAAATTATACCGGGGGACCTTGGTCTATTAAAAAAAATTATACCGGGGGACCTTGGTCTATGTCAGTGGGTATGTGTGGGTGGGTGTCTGTGTGTGTGTGAAACCAGATATGTGTCACTGTTATTGGCAATGAGCACACGTCTGGGGGCGTCTTGCCTTCCGGAGTAATCGTTGAATCGGTTTAATTTCTGCAAATGCATCGTCGGCATTAGGTTGCCGTGCTGGGTGAGTTCCCCTCTTGTTGACTGTGAGATCGCAAAACCACACACACACACAAACTAAAATAGCGCCTTATCTTATCATCGTGTAAATAGAGACGAAGGGAGGAGGCGAGGGGATCACAGATACGACAAACACATCTACGATACCGTTGAGCTATTCCTTAATACTGTGCACGACAGCTCCATTTACCGTAGAGAGCTCCTGCGTAACCACAGACACCGTTTTGATATCATAAACACTCGCCTGATACCATAGGCAGTTCGTTGATACAGTGGACAGATGCCTGGTTACCACAAACAGTTCCCCGACACCATGTACACCTTCCTTATTCCGCGGGGCACCTCCTGCATACCATGGAGAGGATTGTTTACAGCATGGACATCTTGGTACCATGAACAGCTCAAGGATACTCCGGTCAGCTTTTTAATACCATGGATAGCTCCCGTTTACCATTGCTCATTGATGTCATGGTCAGCTTCCGATTTCCATGGATAGCTCATTGATACAATGCACAGCTCCCTAGTAACATGGTCAGCTCAATGATTATATAGTTAGCTCCTCAGTGCCATGGTCAGCTGCCCAGTACTATGGACAGCTCCCTAGTACCCTGGTCAGCTCAGTTATACTATGGTCAGCTCCCGAGTACCATGGTCAGCTCCTGAGTACCGTGGACAGCTCCCTAGTGCCCTGGTCAGCTCCTGAGTACCATGGACAGCTCCCTAGTGCCCTGGTCAGCTCCTGAGTACCGTGGACAGCTCCCTAGTGACCTGGTCAGCTCCTGAGTACCATGGACAGCTCCCTAATGCCCTGGTCAGCTCCTGAGTCCCATGGACAGCTCCCAAGTACCGTGGACAGCTCCCTAGTGCCCTGGTCAGCTCCTGAGTACCATGGACAGCTCACTAGTGCCCTGGTCAGCTCCTGAGTACCATGGACAGCTCCCTAGTGCCCTGGTCAGCTCCTGAGTCCCGTGGACAGCTCCTGAGTCCCGTGGACAGCTCCCTAGTGCCCTGGTCAGCTCCCTAGTGCCCTGGTCAGCTCCCTAGTGCTCTGGTCAGCTCAATGATACTATGGTTAGCTCCTCAGTGCCCTGGTCAGCTCAATGATACTATGGTCGGCTCCCTAGTACTATGGTCGGCTCCCTAGTACCACGGTCCGCTCCTTAGCACCATGGACATATCAATGATACCACAGTAAGCTCCCTAGTACCATTGGCAGCTCAATGATTCCATGGTCAGCTCCCGAACTCCCTGATACCATGACCAGCTCCCTCGTCCCATGGGCTGCTGCTTAGTACCATGGTTAGCTCGCTGGTACCCACGGAACATGTATTGATTTCATATACATCTCACCTTGATACCACAGACATTATACCATGGACATCTCCCCAGGGCGACGGAGAGCTCCCTACTTCGAGGGATTTAAAAAAAAAAAAGAGCAGATCCAGGGGGGAGTGTGTGCAGAAGTAGAGGGAGACAGAGAATGGGGAGGTGGTGGACAGATGTGAATGGGTGTAGGTAAGGAGCGAGAGACACAGGGAGAGAGAGAGAGAATGTGGGAGCGAGAGAGAGAGAAGGGGGGGGGAATGGGAGAGAGAGAGAGGAGGGGTGGGAGGTGCAGAGAGAGGAGGGAGATCGAGCGGGGAGACGCAGAGTCCAATAAATAGCGGGGACGAGGGGGAGCGGGAGGAGAGGAGAGACGCTCGCAGACGGAGGCGACCTCCACTCGTCTCGTTTCAGGTGCGCTCGTTAAACCAATTCATTACATTGTGTGTGTGCGTGCTGGTTGCGTTGTACGTGTAATACAAGCGATCAATAAGCAGCTGATGTATGACCACCACCACCATCACTTCTACCACCGCTGCTGCTGCTGTTGCTTGTTAACGGCGGCGAAAAGCCGGGGCAGTGGAGGGCAATTGCGGTCCGTTCAGAGCTAACACATTCAAACGTACGCACATGCATAATAATATATACACACACAATGTAATTCAAACACTGCCCCATGGCTCCGTGGTGGGGGGGGGGGGGGGGGGGGGGGCACGTACATGAGGAGCGGTGGCGCGGCGGTTAGCGCTCTGCGGCGCGAAGGGAACCCGACGATCCGAGTTCGATGCCCGCTCACGGCCAACATCTGCGACAGCGAGCATCTGAACCGGTCGGTGATGCCTTCTGCCGCGGTCGACTGAGTCTTTAAATGTGTGTGTAAAAAAACCCATCTCCAATGGGTGAGACAAAGGCGGCCGGGCGTGGCGCTGGTCACCCACTACCCGTGCCGGCCTTCATGGGTGCTCGCTCAGAGCACTTGCCCCAACAGTCTGATCGAGGCTACACGGGGAAATCTTTGTCTTTTAGCTCTTCGCGAATGCGTTCCCTGTGTTGGTGCTGTGCGCATTTGTGTCAGTCTGTGGATTTTATTCGTCAGTTACTTTTAAATCTAATACGGCATGTGCTATGAAGAAAGGGGGCATTACCCGAAACGTCGCCAATTATATGTGTCGTTCCCTTTGTTGAGGCCACAAAAACGCAGTGTTGATTTTATTATTGTGCTCAGGTTTAAACGGCAGTGTTATTCACACACCACACTGCAAATGCATTAGCAGCGGTCTCTTAAATTAATCTTTTAAAAATATACATATATTTTACCGACATAATATACAAGAAATAAAAAAACATGTTTCAGCGATAACTGTATTTTCTATCTAATCGGCCGTCACGTGCTTGTGCTCTTCGTGTTGTGATGGGGGGGTCTTTTTTTCGTGTGTGTGTGTGTTTATGCGATATTTCATGAGGCCGTTAGGTCAGACGAATATTGGTTTGGCTTTGAGCCGACCCTGGTTCATGCCCTGGTATACACAGGGTGCTTCAAAAAAATGTTTAACACCTCCACGGGACCATCGTTTTCAATGAAAAAAGAACGGACGCTAGCTAATACGCTGCAACGTGATAACGAATGCAACGTTCAGAGCTTCAAAAAAGTAAAAGGGATCTCTCCCACTTGATCGCCATCGTTGTCAACGCGTGGCCTGGAATCTTCTTCTAGGTGGTTTCTAGGGCACCCCAGGAAGCACGCACATTTCTCGCGGTTATTATCGTTGCAAATTCTCAGAAGTGTTCACATATTTCCTCGAAGCGCCCCTATATTTGTGTGGCCTGCCGTTTAATGATGACAAAGTAATGTGTGCAATTGGCAGTAAGTGGCTGGCCATTATACGTTGCCCATGCAATTGGAGCTATATCGGAGCTATTATTATCACCGAACGAGGCACGATAGATGGAGATGACATCACTTAGGGTTATCACGTACAATGTATAATCAGCTGTGTGCTGCGTGGTTGTGTGTGTTGCGTGTTGTGTTTGACGGTATGCATATTTATGTATGCCTGTATGTGTGCATTTGTGCCTGCGTAAATATTTGCCAGTTTGTGCTTATCAGATGAAATCACTAAGTGTGATCATGTACAATGCATATCAGCTGTGTATAACATGTTCATGCGGTTATATGTGTGTGTGTGTAGTGTTTGCATGTCGATGTATCTATGCATGTATGTGTGTTAAATGTGTGGGAGGAGTGGTAGTGTAGCGGTTAGCGCGTTGCACTACGAACCTGGCTACCCGAGTTTGATTCCCGCTCACGGCCAACACCATCAGTGACGATTATCTGAACCGGTCCTGGGCCTACCCTAGGTCGACCCAGCCTCAAATGAGTACCTGGTGCGGTGTGTAAACATCGCCACTAGGGAGACAAAGGCGGCCGGGCGTGGTGCTGGCCACCCACCCCCCTCGTGCGCCGTGGCGGCCTTCGTAGTTGCTACTCGCTAACAGCACTTGCCCCAACAGTCTGTTCAGGCTATACGGGGGATCTTTGTCTTTGTGTGCAGTTCGTGCAAACCTCAGTCGCCGTGCCACTCACTCACAGCAACAACAGATCCGATGTACGGCTTCCCCTTTCAACGTCGTTTCGCCAACACGTCGTCGCATTTCTTAACGCTGGACCATCCGTTGAATCAAAGAGCTTTATAGCTCATCTGATTCCTCTGGTGTAAAACAAAACAAAAACACACAAAACCAACTAATTGGCACGTTTTGTTTCCCGTGACAAAACCCTGAACGAATTGGCCCGTGTCGGGTGGTGGCGGGTTTGACGACACTTTTATATTGACGCGATCTAACCCCAAAATCCTCTATCACGGGTTTACAATGGTAGTAGTAGTAGTAGTCTGTGGTGGTGGTGGTGGTGGAGGCGCAGGATAACGAGAAAGGCCGGGCGATCCTGTCATCTATGATGGATAATATTGGTCGCGTAAGCACTGCTGCTGCTACTACTACAACGTGTTAAACTTCTGTAAATCGCTTGCGATTCATTGCGTCCTTTCGATATTCGTAATCCCACCTTTCATGAACCTATTCCACTTCCCCCTCCCGTTAACCGAGGGTATTTGCTGTGCACGTGTGCGCGCGTGTTTTGTACACACACACACACACAGGCAGGCAGTCAGACACAGGCGTGTTCCCTGTCAACAGATACGACGACAGACCTTCCCCCCCTCCCACTCACCTCCCCACCCATGCTCTGAGAGCCCCCCTCCCCCTCCCCCCCCCCCCACACACACACACGCACCGGGCAGCATGAGCCGAAAGAAGGCACGAGGCGAGGTGGTGTGGGGCTCCCGAGGTGCCGCCGGCACCCCCCTCGTCTCCTCCCAGGGGCCCAAGCCACTCCTCGCCAACGGAGTGTCCGCAGCTCTCACTCGCTCGCCCCTGTCCAGCAGCGGAGAGTTCTGTGACCTCGCGTCCAAGGTGTGGGGGGGGGGGGGGGGGGCAAGGGGGGTGGGGGTAGTGGGGGTGGTGGAGCGGGCAGTGATATCGCAGGGTCAGCATGGGTAGTGCCAGAGGACCATGGGTAGAGTCGGTAACCATGGGTAACAGCAGTAGCAGCAGCGATTGAAGAACCACAAAAGAAGCTGTACAGGAACAGATCATGTGGAGATCCAGCATACCACGTGGAGATACAGGATACCACGTGTAAATCCAGGATACCACGTGGAGATACAGGATACCACGTGGAGATCCAGGATACCACGTGGACATCCAGGATACCACGTGGAGATCCAGGATACCACGTGTAAATCCAAGATACCACGTGGAGATCCAGGATACCACGTGTAAATCCAGGATACCACATGGAGATCCAGGATACCACGTGGAGATCCAGGATACCACGTGTAAATCCAGGATACCACGTGGAGATCCAGGATACCACGTGTAAATCCAGGATACCACGTGGAGATCCAGGATACCACGTGGAGATCCAGGATACCACGTGGAGATACAGGATACCACGTGGAGATCCAGGATACCATGTGTAAATCCAGGATACCACGTGGAGATCCAGGATACCACGTGGAGATCCAGGATACCACGTGGAGATCCAGGATACCACGTGTAAATCCAGGATACCACGTGGAAATCCAGGATACCACGTGGAAATCCAGGATACCACGTGGAGATCCAGGACGCCATGTGGACATCCAGGACGCCATGTGGAGATCCAGGACGCCACGTGGAAATCCAGGATACCACGTAGAGATCCAGGATACCACGTGTAAATCCAGGATACCACGTGTAAATTCAGGATACCACGTGTAAATCCAGGATACCACGTGGCGATCCAGGATACCACGTGGAGATCCAGGATACCACGTGGAGATCCAGGATACCACGTGGAGATCCAGGATACCACGTGGAGATCCAGGACGCCATGTGGACATCCAGGACGCCATGTGGTGATCCAGGACGCCATGTGGAGACCCAAGACCCCATTTGGAGATCCAGGATACCACGTGTAAATCCAGGATATCACGTGTAAATCCAGGATATCACGTGTAAATCCAGGACGCCATGTGGACATCCAGGACGCCATGTGGAGATCCAGGATACCACGTGTAAATCCAGGATATCACGTGCAAATCCAGGATATCACGTGGAGATCCAGGATGTGACGTGTAAATCCAGGATATCACGTGGAGATACAGGATACCACGTGGAGATCCAGGACGCCATGTGGAAATCCAGGATACCACGTGGAGATCCAGGATACCATGTGGAGATACAGGATACCATATTTAGATCCAGGATACCATTGGGAGATCCAGGGTGCTAATTGTAGACACCACCGGTACATCTCAGAACCCACGAGTGGGTCCAATGACACCACCACGGACAGCTCTTGGGTACCATGGACAGCGCCACGTCACCGCTGGGATGATCGCTGTTGCGATCAGGTTCAGCTGTGTAAGGCGCCATCCATTTAGTAGGTACGCAAAAATCCGTCAAAACTTGACCCCTCCCCCCCTCCCTGTACGCAGGCGTACTTTTTACACCCCCCCCCCCCCTCACCTGCGTACCTACAGCTTGACGCACCACCCCCCCCCCCCCGAATCCTATAGAACGGCCGATATTTAATCCACACAGAAACGATCAAGGATTATCTGACTCATTTGAAAGCCAATGGCCAATGTAGACAAATTATTATTGAAGCTTCACCCCCACCCCTCGTCGTGTCCTATGCGTGCATTGTCAGTAGACCCTCCCCCCCCCCCCCATACGCAAGGGAACGCATTTGGGTGAACCCCCCTCCATGTGTACTTACTGAGTGAATGGCCCCTGAGCGGGAGTGCGTGAGGTTTGCAGACAGCGGTAAGCCTTGCCCACCCCCCACCCCATCGCCCCCCCCCACCCACCCCTCTGGCCCCCCCACCCACCCCACTGCCCCCCACCCCACCCACCCCTCTGCCCCCCCCACCCACCCCCCCACCCCACCGCCCCCCCCACCCCACCGCCCCCCCCCACCCACCCCAGTGCCCCCCCCACCCACCCCACCGCCCCCCCACCGCACCGCCCCCCACCAACCCCACCGCCCCCCCCCCATCCACCCCACTCCCCCTCCCCCACCCACCCCACCGCCACCCACCCCACTCCCCCCCCCCCCCCAATATCCTTCCTCCACTTGGCGACATCAGGTGATGCTGGTGGGCGACTCGGGTGTGGGGAAGACGTGTCTGCTCGTGCGCTTCAAAGACGGAGCCTTTCTATCCGGGAGCTTCATTTCCACCGTGGGCATCGACTTTAGGGTGAGGCTGCTGCTGCTGCTACAGCTGCTGCTGCTGGTGGTGGTGGAGGTGGTGGTGGTGGTGGTGGTGGCGGCGGGGCAGCGCCAACCACGCCGCCACCCGTGCGCCTTGCGGAGAGCACGGCGCCTCGGTTCGATTCCCCGACTCGGACGCCTTTTGCTGTAGCGGAGTGTTGTTTGAGCTACCCCGCCCGCCCACCCACGCACCCACCCACCCACCCACTTACTCAACCACCCATCCGCTCACTCACCCACCCACCCACCCACGCACGCATCCACTCACCCACACATCCACTCACCCACCCACCCATCCACTCACCCACCCACCCATCCACTCACCCACCCATCCACTCACCCACCCACTCATCCACTCACCCAGCCACCCACCCACTCACCCACCCATCCACCCACCCGTCCGCTCACCCACCCGTCCACTTACCCACCCTCCCATCCACTCACCCACCCATCCACTCACCTACCCATGCACTCACCCACCCATCCACTCACCCACCCACCCATCCACCCACCCACCCACGCATCCACTCACCCACACATCCACTCATCCACACATCCACTCAGCCACCTACCCATCCACTCAGCCACCCACCCACTCATCCATTCACCCGCCCATCCATCCACTTAACCACCCATCCACTCACCCACCCACACATCCACCCACCCACCCATCCACTCACCCACCCACTCACCCACCCACTCCTGTTTCGTCTACAAAATGAGGGTTCGAGTGTGTGGGAGTGCGCGTGCGTGTGGTGTGTGCGTGTGTATGGGGGGAGTGGTGGTGTAGCGGTTTTTGCGCTGAGTTACGAACCTAAAGACGATTAATTATCTGAACCAGTCCTGGGCTTCCCGTAGGTCGACTCAGCTTCAAATGAGCACTTTTCGTGAGATGTGTAGTAAAACATCGCCGCTGGGGAGAAAAAGGCGGTCGGGCGTGGTGCTGGCCACCCACCCCCTCGTGTGCCGTGTCGGCCTTCATTGGTGCTCCTCGCTAACGGCACTTGCCCCAACAGCACGTTAAGGCGATTAAAGGGATCTTTGCACTATGCATGTTTTGCAAGCGTTGAGCTAAAAACAGCTGATACTGGTAAACAAACAGAGACCCACAGACTCACACAGAGACCCATAGACTCACACAGAGATCCGTAAACTCACACAGAGACCCATAGACTCACACAGAGACCCATAGACTCACACAGAGACCCATAGACTCAGACAGAGACCCATAGACTTACACAGAGACCCACAGACTCACACGGAGGCCCATAGACTCACACAGAGACCCATAGACTCACACAGAGACCCATAGACTCACACAGAGACCCACAGACTCACACAGAGACCCAAAGACTCACACAGAGACCCATAGACTCACACAGAGATCCATAGACTCACACAGAGACCCATAGACTCACACAGAGACCCATAAACTCACACAGAGGCCCATAGACTCACACAGAGACCCATAGACTCACACAGAGATCCATAGACTCACACAGAGAACCACAGACTCACACAGAGACCCATAGACTCACACAGAGACCCATAGACTCACGCAGAGACCCATAGACTCACACAGAGACCCACAGACTCACACAGAGACGCAAAGACTCACACAGAGACCCATAGACTCACACAGAGATCCATAGACTCACACAGAGACCCATAGACTCACACAGAGACCCATAGACTCACAAAGAGACCCATAGACTCACACAGAGACCCATAGACTCACACAGAGACCCATAGACTCACACAGAGACCTATAGACTCACACAGAGACCCACAGACTCACACAGAGACCCATAGACTCACACAGAGACCCATAGACTCACACAGAGACCCATAGACTGACACAGAGTCCCATCGTTTGTTGTCTTTCCCTCGCATCTCCGAAGGAAGTCCAACCTCTACACGCATGAGAGAAAAAAAAAACCTCTGACTGGACGCATCATGATCATGATGTTGATCATGATGATGATCATGATGATGATCATGATGATGATCATGATGATGATGAAGAACATCTCACGGTGCCGCAGGGACGGGAGAACTGCGCCTTAATTCGTTGTATTCAGTGGTAAATTAGTATTGTTGTTGTTGCTACACAACTCAAAGTTTTTGTTCGTAATCGCGACGTTCAATGACCCATAAAGACTTAGGGCTGCGACCGTATTCTCCAGATTATACCGCATTCCCCCCCCCCCCCCCCCCTATGTATGTTAAAACAACACTCGGTAGCTGTGTGTGTGAGTGTGTGTGTGAGTGTGTGAGTGTGTGTGTGAGTCTGTGTGAGTGTGTGTGAGTCTGTGTGTGTGAGTGTATGTGTGAGTGTGTGTGTGAGTGTGTGTGTGAGAGTGTGTGTGTGAGTGTGTGTGTGAGTGTGTGTGTGTGAGTGTGTGTGTGAGTGTGTGTGTGAGTCTGTGTGAGTGTGAGTGTGTGATAGTGTGTGTGTGTGAGCCTGTGTGAGTGTGTGTGAGTCTGTGTGTGAGTGTGTGTGTGAGTGTGTGAGTGTGAGTCTGTGTGAGTGTGTGTGTGAGTGTGTGAGTGTGTGTGTGAGTGTGTGAGTGTGTGTGAGTCTGTGTGTGAGTGTGTGTGTGAGTGTGTGTGTGAGTGTGTGTGTGAGTGTGTGAGTGACGAGATGAGCGGTGGTGCAGCGGTTAGCGTTATGCAGCACGACTCGAGTTCGATTCCCGCTCACGGCCAACGCCGGTGACGATTATCTGTACCGGTCCCTGAGCCTCCCCTAGGTCGACTCAGCCTCAAGTGGGTGACCGGTGCGGTGTGTAGTAAACATCGCCACTTGGGGAGACAAAGGCGGCCGGGTGTGGTGTTGGCCACCCACCTCCTCGTGTGCCACAGTGCCGGCCTTCATAGGTGCTCGCTAACAGCACTCGCCCCGACAGTCTGTTAAAAGCGACACTGGGGGTAGGGGCGTGGCCTGGCTGGGTGGGTGCGTGCGTGGGTGTGTGGCTGGGTGGATGCGTGTGTGCGTGGGTGGGTGGGTGCGTGGGTGGGTGCGTGTGTTCGTGGGTGCGTGTGTGCGTGGGTACGTGGCTGGGTGGGTGGGTGCGTGGGTGGGTGCGTGTGTGTGTGGGTTGGTGGGTGCGTGGGTGGGTGGGTGGGTAGGTACGTGGGTGGGTGGGTGCGTGGTGGGTGGGTACATGTGTGCGTGGGTTGGTGGGTGGGTGCGTGGGTGGGTGGTGGGTGCGTCAGTTGGTGTGTGCGTGGATGGGTGGGTGCGTGGGTGGGTGCGTTGGTGGGTGGGTGTGTGCGTGGGTGTGTGCGTGTGTGCGTGGGTGTGTGCGTTGGTGGGTGGGTGTGTGCGTGGGTGTGTGCGTGTGTGCGTGGGTGTGTGCGTTGGTGGGTGGGTGCGTGCGTCGGTGGGTGGGTGGGTGTGTGCGTGGGTGTGTGCGTGCGTGCTGTGGGGCAATTCGCCCTGATGGCCCCCCACCCGCTTCTCTCCGTGACTCCCCGTGGCGGCGGCGGCGGTGGCGGCGGCCGTCGATTGTCCGTCTGGGCGGTGTCGTCCCGCAGAGCGGGCGCACCTAGCCTGGCACCGTCCAGTAGCCGTACGGTGCTACGCAGCCTGGCACAAGCGCCGCGGTGGCGTCTGCGCCACGAGGCGCCTTCGGCGAACCGGCTTCGACTCTTGCTCGTCGGCCACCGACGCAACTTTGGGGAAATATTTTCCGACCACGGCGTCGAATGTGGATTCGGTGCGAATGCGTTGGCATCGCCGCTCGGGAGACGAAGGCGGCGCGGAGTGGCGCTGACCACCCAAAACCCTCGTGGGCCCTGCCCCCGAAGTTTGTCAAAGGCTATACGGGGGATCTTTGTCTTTGTATGTGCGTTGTGGGGAGCGGTGGTGCAGCCGCGGTCTGCCCCATTAAGTCAACGATGTAAAAGCAGGCCTGGGGAAACGTCCGACCCCGCGAGATCATTTGGGTCTCTGGCCCTGCCAAGAGCAACCGCAGGCGGGAACTCGAAATTCAACAAATCTAGGGAGAGCAAAACCTGGGAAAAGCAGTTGCGAGTAGCGACAACATCGTCAATAGCCGGCTAACATCATCGCCACGCCTCGCCAAAGAGAAGCAAGTTCCAGGCCCCATCGCATTAGGGGCGAGTGAATTAAATGTTTTGACCGAATGTAACGGGCTTAATTTTTAAGTTGATAATTTTGTATGGCCCGCGAATGATGTTATATAAATATCCAAATGGCCCCTTGGCAGAAAAATAAATGTTCCCCGTCCCTGAGTATTGTAACACAGCAATGGACGGGCGCGTTCGCCATCGATTGTGCCGCTGGGTTTAGTAAATAAATAAATAGACACCGCGCCGTGACCCCTCCAGCTCGGCGGCCTTGCCCCCTCTTACCCCTATTGAGCTGGAGTCGTTACTGGGGGTGGGGGAGGGGAGGAGGGGGGGGGAGGGGAGGTGGGGGGGAGGGGAGAGGGGAGGTGGGGGGGGAGGGTGGGAGGGGAGGTTGGGGGGGAGGGGCGGTTGGGGGGGGGGGGGAGGTTGGGTGGAGGGGAGGTGGGGGGGAGGGGAGGTGGGGGGGGAGGGGAGGTTGGGGGGAGGTTGGGGGGAGGGGAGGTGGGGGGTGAGGGGAGGTGGGGGGGGGAGGGGAGGTGGGGGGGAGGGAGGTTGGGGGGAGGTTGGGGGGAGGGAGGTGGGGGGTGAGGGGAGGTGGGGGGGGAGGGGGGTGGAGGGGAGGTGGGGGGAGGGGATGGTGGGGTGGAGGGGAGGTGGGGGAGGGGAGGTTGGGGAGAGGGGAGGTGGGGGGAGGGGAGGTGGGGGGAGGGGAGGTGGAGGGAGGGGAGGTGGGGGGAGGGAGGTGGGGGGGAGGGGAGGTGGTGGGGAGGGGAGGTGGGGGGAGTTGGGGGGAGGGGAGGTTGGGGGGAGGTTGGGGGGAGGGGAGGTGGGGGAGGGGAGGTGGGGGGAGGGGGAGGTGGGGGGAGGGGAGGTTGGGGAGAGGGGAGGTGGGGGAGGGGAGGTGGGGGAGGGGAGGTGGGGGGGAGGGGAGGTTGGGGGGAGGTTGGGGGGAGGGGAGGTGGGGGAGGGGAGGTGGGGGGGAGGGGAGGTGGGGGGGAGGGGAGGTTGGGGGGAGGTTGGGGGAGGGGAGGTGGGGGGTGAGGGGAGGTGGGGGGGAGGGGGGTGGAGGGGAGGTGGGGGGAGGGGAGGTGGGGGGGAGGGGAGGTGGGGGGAGGGAGGTTGGGGAGAGGGGAGGTGGGGGAGGGGAGGTGGGGGGAGGGGAGGTGGAGGGAGGGGAGGTGGGGGGAGGGGAGGTGGGGGGGAGGGGAGGTGGGGGGAGGGGAGGTTGGGGGGAGGTTGGGGGGAGGTTGGGGGGAGGGGAGCTGGGGGGAGGGGAGGTGGTGGTGTGTGTGTAATGAAGAAGAAGAACAACAACAATAATAATAATATTACCCACGCGATAACTCTTCAGTGCTTCATGGAGCGCATTATTATTATCACAAACTGTAAATGTTGTGGATTCACTCTTCAACACACCGGTGGGCTAAAGTAGTGAATTATTTGTCTTTTGTCAACGTGCCACTTTTTTGCTGATTGGCCGTGTCGGGTGGTGGAGGGTTACGACACATTTATAAATAACGCGATATAACCCAAAAACCTTTATTATGAACAATTCACAATAACCAGTTGTACACTCACCACTAGTACACCCATTACTACACTCACCACTACAAACCTGTCAACCCCTTATCAGTGCCCTACCTTATTACAGACCAACTCAGAACTTATTGGTCACCCCACGTGCCACTTATAAATCTCAACTTTCATCCTACAAAGTCCCATCACAAGCGAGAAACACTAACAAATAGGCAACACAAAATTTAACTCAACTTCCCTGTACAAGAATACGGGCTAAACCGTATGGGTTGACGCGGTATGAAACAACAAATTACGAAATGTTACAGTGGACACAGCCTGTCCACTGCATTGATGAATCGTCGCTGAATTGTGGCTGTGTGAAGTTTGAGACAGAGGCTCACTTGTTGGACCGAGTTTGCAGGGCTTGTATTTCTGAACTAACTGAGCCCCCCCTCCTTCCCCACCCCCCCCCCCCCCCCCCCCCCCCCCCCCCCCCCCCCCCCCCCCCCCCCCCCCCCCCCCCCCCCCCCCCCCCCCCCCCCCACGTGTCGTGAGCTTCAGAACAAAGTTGTCACCGTGGACGAGGCAAAGGTAAAGCTACAGGTGAGGCCCAGATGGTCTTTGCTGCCACTTTCCTTGTCACGCCGCGGCTAGGCGCCGGTCCGCCCGAGACGCCAAGGCCCTGGGTGGCGATGCCCACGCCTCGCGCCGGGAAGGTCACGGGTTCGACTGGCGGCTCGGGTTTTGCCGGCGGACCGCTCCGCGTAGGGCGTTGTACGCGCGGGTTGCTTCCTTCATGGATGACGCTGGAGTTGGTTGCCGTGACGGCGACTGCGGAGAGCAGTGAGCTTGAACAGGTACCAATTTAAAATGCGAGGGTTCAAGCGCAGACGCCTGTGACAAACGAAAGAATGATAATGACGATGACGATGATGGCAACCACCTAAGGTTAGGGTTCAAATTATAATGTGCATCTGGCATTCGAACAAGGCGTTGAGTCCCGATGGCCACGCTCGCGGCGCTTGCATCTGGCCCCGTGACTGCGATCGTGCCCCCAACTATAGGGGCGCTTCGAAAACAATAAAATGCGAACGCTTCTGAGAATTTGCAACGGTGACCGCGAGCGATGTGCTGGCTGCCTCCTGGGGCTCTGGAGGAAACCTGGTGAAGATTCCAGGCACGCGTTTGACAACGATGTGCGAACAAGTGGGAGAGACGGTTTTTTTTTTACTTTTTGAAATCTCTTAGCATTACATTTGTTATAATTCAGTAGGCTCACGTGACATTGACTTCTCCAAGACAGAGGTTCTTCGTAAGCCATCTGGCTACCATGAGAGATTCGTTCATGAGGCTATCCACATATACAAGCACAGAGACAATTTCAACAGAGAAGATGGATTCTGGCTTAGCAATCATTGGAAGGATTTGATAAACCATTTCAGGTCTTAATTGATTGTTCACGCTTACGGTGGCTTTCAGACAGCATACATTAATTTTTCGTCTCCCCCCTCCTCTTTTCAGAACATAGATGGACTAGTCCTTCTAAATAAACTGCCAAATCGCTGCGCGTGGCGCTGACGGTTTCAAATAAATAAATAAACCGTTTAAAAATAAATACATTGATGCAAACCGACACACCTGATGACGACCGTTTGTGTTATGGTCGAAACGTCGTGAGAATTTTTATTGTTTTATATATATTTTATTCTTTTATTGTTTCCCTTCAACGTGACTTTACCGAAAGAACTAAGAATATGAATTACATTTGTTATCGTGGCACAGTGTATTATTTTTGACCGTGATTTTTTTCCCAATTAAAACGATAGTCCCGTTTTAGTTTTTAAAATATGTTTGAAACACCCTGTATTTAGCGATTTCGTGGCAATTTTTTTTAGTAACTAAAGTCAGAATAAACTAAAACTGTAAGCTGATTTATGTTTTAGAATAGTTTTTCCGCTTTTTTTCTGGCAACAAAACTGAAACCTTTTGACGAGGAATCACGTCTGCATTAACCACGATACTTGTGGTCAGAACGCAAACAAAAACCACACGAGGACCAGTCGCGACCGCGATCAACAAGTTACAATATAACAGCGGTTACCATTTGGTAACTTACAACAGCGGTTACCATTTGATGAACAAGTTACAATACAACAGCAGTTACCATTTGTTCAACAAGCTACAATACAACAGCGGTTACCATTTGTTCAACAAGTTACAATACAACAGCGGTTACCATTTAGTCAACAAGTTACAATACAACAGCGGTTACCATTTGTTCAACAAGTTACAAAACAACAGCGGTTACCATTTGGTGAACAAGTTACACTACAACTGCAGTTACCATTTGGTGAACAAGTTACAATACAACAGCAGTTACCATTTGGTGAACAAGTTACAATACAACAGCGGTTACCATTTGGTGAACAAGTTACAAAACAACAGCGGTTACCATTTGGTGAACAAGTTACAAAACAACAGCGGTTACCATTTGGTGAACAAGTTACAATACAACAGTGGTTACCATTTGGTGAACAAGTTACAATACAACAGCAGTTAGTTACCATTTGTTCAACAAGTTACAATACATCAGCGGTTAGCATTTGTTCAACAAGTTACAATACAACAGCAGTTACCATTTGGTGAACAAGTTACAAAACAACAGCGGTTACCATTTGGTGAAGAAGTTACAATACAACAGCAGTTAGTTACCATTTGGTGAACAAGTTACAAAACAACAGCAGTTAGTTACCATTTGTTCAACAAGTTACACTACAACAGCAGTTACCATTTGTTCAACAAGTTACACTACAACAGCAGTTACCATTTGGTGAACAAGTTACAATACGACAGCGGTTACCATTTGGTGAACAAGTTACAATACAACAGCGGTTAGTTACCATTTGGTCAACAAGTTACAAAACAACAGCGGTTACCATTTGTTCAACAAGTTACAAAACAACAGGGGTTACCATTTGGTCAACAAGTTACAATACAACAGCGGTTACCATTTGGTGATCAAGTTACAAAACAACAGCGGTTACCATTTGGTGAACATGTTACAATACAACAGCGGTTACCATTTGGTGAACAGGTTACAAAACAACAGCGGTTACCATTTGGTGAACAAGTTACAATACAACAACAGTTACCATTTAGTGAACAAGTTACAATACAACAGCGATTACCATTTGTTCAACAAGTTACACTACAACAGCAGTTAGTTACCATTTGTTCAACAAATTACAAAACAACAGCGGTCGGCAAAGGTCACGTGGCAGCTGTCGACAGCGACCTGTCCGGCGCGCGCGTGTTTTTGGCCTACGCTTCCACGACGGCCGGGAGTCTCGTGGACGGCTGCTCGGCTCGGCCAGAGGTCAGCAGCGCGTTGCTGCTGCTGCTGCTGCGCCGTTCTCCCCGCTGTGACCTCTGGGATGGGCCAGAGGTCACAGCGAGTGAGATCGTATCCAGCCACAGTTGTTAACCCAAAGGCCGGTCGATCGTCGAAGGGACGGGGCACGTTCATCATTAGCGCTCGCTTCGCTGATGGTGTTTCAATTAGCGTAATGTTAGTCACTTTGGTGGTGGGGGTGGGAGGGCAGAGGTGGTGGGGCGGGTGGGTGGGGGGAGGGCCGGGAGAGGTGGGGGGGGGTAGAGGTTAGGGGAGGGGGGCAAGAGGTTGTGGGAGGGGGGGTGGAGCAGTTGGGGGGGGCGGACGGGTGGGGGGAGGGACGGGAGGGGGGTGGAGCAATCGGGGGGGGGGGCAGGAGGGGGTTGTTCTCATTTACCGGTAGGGCTCAGCGTGGGGCCCTGAACACTGTCACCGCAGCCTCCGCCACCGACACCGGGTGAATTGGATAATGAATTGTCTCCTTGCAGGCGCGTGTGGGTGGGTGGGGGTGTGGGTGTGGGTGGGTGGAGGTGTGGGTGGGTGGGGGTGAGGGTAGGGGATGTGGGTGTGGGTGGGTGGGAGTGTGGGTGTGTGTCTGGGGAGCGGTGGTGTAGCGGTTAGCGCGCTGCGCTATGAACCTGGCGACCCGGGTTCGATTCCCGCTCACGGCCAACACCAGTGACGATTATCTGAACCGGTCCCGGGCCTCCCCTAGGTCGACTCAGCTTCAAATGAGTACCTGGTGCGGTGTGTAGTAAACATCGCCACTGGGGAGACAAAGGCGGTCGGGCGTGGTGCTGGCCACCCACCCCCTCGTGTGCCGTGCCGGCCTTCATAGGTGCTGCTCGCTAACGGCACTTGCCCCTACGGTCGGTCTGTACGGCGATATGGGGGAGCTTTGATTTGTTTTGCATTTCTGTTTTCAGATCTGGGACACGGCAGGGCAGGAGAGATTCCGGAGCGTCACGCACGCCTACTACCGCGACGCGCATGGTGAGACACTCGCTCGCTCACCCGATCGCTCACCCGTTCGCTCACCCGCTCACCCACCCACCCAGACGCTCACTCACACACTCACACTCTCATCCGCTCACCCATCCACCCAGACACTCACTCACACTCTCACCCGCTCACCCACCCACCCAGACACTCACTCACTCACACTATCACCCACCCACCCAGACACTCACTCACTCACACTATCACCCGCTCACCTACCCACCCAGACACTCACTCACACTGTCACCCGCTCACCCACCAACCCAGACACTCACTCACACTATCACCCGCTCACCCACCCACCCATGCTCACTCACTCACATTGTTACCCGCTCACCCACCAACCCAGACACTCACTCACACTATAACCCGCTCACCCACCCACCCACCCAGACACTCACTCACTCACACTTTCACCCGCTCATCTACCAACCAACCCAGACACTCACTCACTCACTCACACTCTCACCCGCTCACCCACCCACCCAGACACTCACTCACTCACACTGTCACCCGCTCACCCACCCACCCACCCAGACACTCACTCACTCACTCACACTTTCACCCGCTCATCTACCAACCAACCCAGACACTCACTCACTCACACTCTCACCCGCTCACCCACCCACCCAGACACTCACTCACTCACACTGTCACCCGCTCACCCACCAACCCAGACACTCACTCACTCACTCACACTATCACCCGCTCACCCACCCACCCACCCAGACACTCACTCACTCACACTTTCACTCGCTCACCTACCAACCAACCCAGACACTCACTCACTCACACTCTCACCCGCTCACCCACCCACCCAGACACTCACTCACTCACACTTTCACCCGCTCATCTACCAACCAACCCAGACACTCACTCACTCACACTCTCACCCGCTCACCCACCCACCCAGACACTCACTCACTCACACTGTCACCCACTCACCCACCCACCCACCCAGACACTTACTCACTCACACTTTCACCCGCTCATCTACCAACCAACCCAGACACTCACTCACTCACACTCTCACCCGCTCACCCACCCACCCAGACACTCACTCACTCACACTGTCACCCGCTCACCCACCAACCCAGACACTCACTCATTCACTCACACTATCACCCGCTCACCCACCCACCCACCCAGCCACTCACTCACCCACTCACACTTTCACCCGCTCACCTACCAACCAACCCAGACACTCACTCACTCACACTCTCACCCGCTCACCCACCCACCCAGACACTCACTCACTCACACTATCACCCGCTCACCCACCCACCCACCCAGACACTCACACTTTCACCCGCTCACCTATCAACCAACCCAGACACTCACTCGCTCACTCACACTCTCACCCGCTCATCCACCAACACAGACACTCACTCACACTCTCACCCGCTCACCCACCCACCCAGACGCTCACTCACACTGTCACTCGCTCACCCACCAACCCAGACACTCACTCACTCACACTCTCACGCGCACCTACCCACCCAGACACTCACTCACACTCTCACCCGCTCACCCACCCACCCATCCAGACACTCACTCACTCACACTATCACCCGCTCACCCACCCACCCACCCAGACACTCACTCACTCACACTTTCACCCGCTCACCTACCAACCAACCCAGACACTCACTCACTCACACTCTCACCCGCTCACCCACCCACCCAGACACTCACTCACTCACACTTTCACCCGCTCATCTACCAACCAACCCAGACACTCACTCACTCACACTCTCACCCGCTCACCCACCCACCCAGACACTCACTCACTCACACTGTCACCCACTCACCCACCCACCCACCCAGACACTTACTCACTCACACTTTCACCCGCTCATCTACCAACCAACCCAGACACTCACTCACTCACACTCTCACCCGCTCACCCACCCACCCAGACACTCACTCACTCACACTGTCACCCGCTCACCCACCAACCCAGACACTCACTCATTCACTCACACTATCACCCGCTCACCCACCCACCCACCCAGCCACTCACTCACTCACTCACACTTTCACCCGCTCACCTACCAACCAACCCAGACACTCACTCACTCACTCACACTCTCACCCGCTCACCCACCCACCCAGACACTCACTCACTCACACTATCACCCGCTCACCCACCCACCCACCCAGACACTCACACTTTCACCCGCTCACCTATCAACCAACCCAGACACTCACTCGCTCACTCACACTCTCACCCGCTCATCCACCAACACAGACACTCACTCACACTCTCACCCGCTCACCCACCCACCCAGACGCTCACTCACAGTGTCACTCGCTCACCCACCAACCCAGACACTCACTCACTCACACTCTCACGCGCGCACCTACCCACCCAGACACTCACTCACACTCTCACCCGCTCACCCACCCACCCATCCAGACACTCACTCACTCACACTTTCACCCGCTCACCTACCCACCCACCCAGACACTCACTCACACTATCACCCGCTCACCCACCCACCCAGACACTCAATCACTCACACTTTCACCCGCTCACCTACCCACCCACCCAGACACTCACTCATTCACTCAGACTATCACCCGCTCACCCACCCACCCACCCAGACACTCACTCACTCACACTGTCACCCGCTCACCCACCAACCCAGACACTCACTCACTCACTCACACTCTCACCCGCTCACCCACCCACCCACCCAGACACTCACTCACTCACACTATCACCGGCTCACCCACCCACCCAACCAGACACTCAATCACTCACACTTTCACCCGCTCACCTACCCACTCAGACACTCACTCACTCACACTGTCACCCGCTCACCCACCAACCCAGACACTCACTCACTCACACTCACCCGCTCACCCACCCACCCATCCAGACGCTCACTCACTCACACTTTCACCCGCTCACCCACTACCCAGACACTCACTCACTCACACTCTCACCCGCTCACCCACCCACCCACCCAGATGCTCACTCACTCACTCTCACTCGCTCCCCCACCAACCCAGACACTCACACACTCACCCGCTGACCCACCCACCCAGACACTCACTCACTCACACTCTCACCCGCTCGCCGACCCACCCACCCAGACACTCACTCACTCATACACTCACCTGCTCACCCATCAACTTAGACACTCACTCACACTCTCACCCGCTCACCCACCCACCCATCTAGACGCTCACTCACACTTTCAACCGCTCACCCACCCACTCAGACACTCACTCACTCACACTGTCACACGCTCACCCAACCACCCACCAAGACACTCACTCACACTCTCACCCGCTCACCCACCCACCCACCCAGATGCTCACTCACTCACACTGTCACCCGCACATCCACAAACCCAGACACTCACTCACTCACACTCTCACCCACTCACCTATCCACCCAGACACTCACTCACACTCTTACCCGCTCACCCACCCACCCACCCAGATGCTTACTCACTCACACTCTCACTCGCTCACCCACCAACTTAGACACTCACTCACACTCTCACTCGCTCACCCACCCACCAACCCAGGAACTCACTCACACTCTCACCCGCTTACCGACCCACCCAAACGCTCGCTCACAGTCTCTCCCAGACGCCTTCCTCGCAGATGAATGGATTTGCCCTTAAACCGAGAAATCCATAGGCGAGCTCCACTGATCGTTACACGCGTCGACCAACGGAAGACAGGAGCTGGGGACGCTGAACAGCAGCAGTAGCAGCAGCAGTAGCAGCAGTAGCAACAGTAGCAGCAGTTGTAGCAGTAGCAGCCGTAGCAGCAGTTGCAGCAGCAACAGCAGCAGTAGCAACAGTAGCAGCAGTTGTAGCAGTAGTAGCAGTAGTAGCAACAGTAGCAGCAGTAGTAGCAGCAGTAGTAGTAGCAGCAGTAGCAGCAGTTGCAGCAGTAGTAGCAACAGTAGCAGCAGTAGCAGCAGCAGTAGTAGTAGCAGCAGTAGTAGCAGCAGTTGCAGCAGCTCCAGTAGCAGCAGTAGTAGGAGCAGTAGCAGCAGTAGCAGCAGCAGTAGCAGCAGTAGCAGCAGCAGTAGTAGTAGCAGCAGTAGCAGCAGTTGCAGCAGCAGTAGCAGCAGCAGTAGTTGTAGCAGCAGTAGTGGTAGCAGCAGTAGCAGCAGCAGTAGCAGCTGCAGTAGCAGCAGTAGTAGGATCAGTAGCAGCAGTAGTAGGATCAGTAGCAGCAGTAGTAGGATCAGTAGCAGCAGCAGTAGCAGTAGGAGCAGTAGCAGCAGCAGTAGCAGCAGCAGTAGCAGTAGGAGCAGTAGTAGCAGCAGTAGTAGCAGCAGTAGCAGCAGTAGCAGCTGCAGTAGCAGCAGTAGTAGGATCAGTAGCAGCAGTAGTAGGATCAGTAGCAGCAGTAGCAGTAGGAGCAGTAGCAGTAGGAGCAGTTGCCGTGAGCTGCAAAAACAACAAGCCAGCCCCCACCCCTCCCCAGTTCCTCCACCGCCACCCTCTCCACCCCCTCCACCTCCACCCCCTCCACCTCCTCCACCTCCTCCACCCGCACCACCCCCCTCCACCTCCACCCCCTCCACCCCCCTCCACCCCCTCCACCATCTCCACCCCCTCCACCCGCTCCACCCCCTCCACCTCCACCCCCTCCACCTCCACCACCCGCTCCACCCCCTCCACCTCCTCCACCCCCTCCACCTCCGCCCCCTGCACCCTCTCCACCCTCTCCACCCCCTCCACCCCCTCCGCCTCCACCCTCTCCACCCCCTCCGCCTCCTCTACCCCCTCCACCTCCTCCACCCCCTCCACCTCCACCCCCTCCACCCCCTCCACCCCCTCCACCCCCTCCACCCCGCACTCCTCACGGCCACCGCCATCCCGGCTCCCGATTCCCTCGGGGTAGCGCTGCCCCGGGCGCCGAGGTGGCTAGGAGATGTTAACTACCTCGCCTGGTATACAGGAGGTTGTGGGTTCGATCACGACCCAGATGACACCTGCTGCTGTATATTTGGAGTCTGCGTGTCTCTCTCTCATCATCATCACGGTGCCTAGGAGATGTTAACTACCTCGCCTGGTGTACAGGAGGTCGTGGCTTCGATCCCGACCCTGACGCCTGCTGCTGCTGTATATTTGGAGTTTGCGTGTCTCTCTCTCACCGTGGTCGCGTGGATTTTTCTCCGGGCCCTCCGAGTTTCCCCTCCACATTTAGAATCAACGTCACGCGTTCAGAGTTATTTGGCTGCTCTAAATGATGGCCAGGTGATGATGATCATGATGATGAGCCACTTCTTTGAGCGATCATTTGTGGCCAGGTCACTTCTGAAAAAGAAGCGACATGCCAAGTGGGCCTCACCTGGTAAGACAAATGAAACAAAAAATGTTCAGTTTCAAGTTTAGTTAAATTGCGGTGGCAGAGAAAAGGTGGAGATAGCGAGACGAGAGAGTGGCTGTAGTGATGATAGTAGCATTAACAGAGCTACAGGGAGATGACAGCGAGACGAGAGAGTGGCTGTAGTGATGATAGTAGCATTAACAGAGCTACAGGTAGAGATGACTGTGACACGAGAGAGTGGCTGTAGTGACGATAGTAGCATTAACAGAGACACAGGGAGATGACTGTGACACGAGAGAGTGGCTGTAGTGACGATAGTAGCATTAACAGAGCCACAGGGGGATGACAGTGACACGTGAGAGTGGCTGTAGTGATGATAGTAGCATTAGCAGAGCTACAGGTAGAGATGACAGCTACACGTGAGAGTGGCTGTAGTGATGATAGTAGCATTAGCAGAGCTACAGGTAGAGATGACAGCTACACGAGAGAGTGGCTGTAGTGATGATAGTAGCATTAACAGAGCTACAGGTAGAGATGACTGTGACACGAGAGAGTGGCTGTAGTGACGATAGTAGCATTAACAGAGCCACAGGGAGATGACAGTGACACGTGAGAGTGGCTGTAGTGACGATAGTAGCATTAGCAGAGCTACAGGTAGAGATGACAGCTACACGTGAGAGTGGCTGTAGTGATGATAGTAGCATTAACAGAGCTACAGGGAGATGACAGTGACACGTGAGAGTGGCTGTAGTGACGATAGTAGCATTAACAGAGTCACAGGGAGATTACAGCTACACGTGAGAGTGGCTGTAGTGATGATAGTAGCATTAACAGAGCTACAGGTAGAGATGACAGTGACACAAGAGAGTGGCTGTAGTGACGATTGTAGCATTAACAGAGCTACAGGGAGATGACAGTGAGACGTGAGAGTGGCTGTAGTGATGATAGCATTAACAGAGCTACAGGTAGAGATGACAGTGACACGAGAGAGTGGCTGTAGTGACGATAGTAGCATTAACAGAGCTACAGGGAGAGATGACAGTGACACGTGAGAGTGGCTGTAGTGATGACAGTAGCATTAACAGAGCTACAGGGAGAGATGACAGTGACACGAGAGAGTGGCTGTAGTGACGATAGTAGCATTAACAGAGCTACAGGGAGAGATGACAGTGACACGAGAGAGTGGCTGTAGTGACGATAGTAGCATTAACAGAGCTACAGGGAGAGATGACAGTGACACGTGAGAGTGGCTGTAGTGACGATAGTAGCATTAACAGAGTCACAGGGAGATTACAGCTACACGTGAGAGTGGCTGTATTGATGATAGTAGTATTAACAGAGCTACAGGTAGAGATGACAGTGACACGAGAGAGTGGCTGTAGTGACGATAGTAGCATTAACTGAGCTACAGGTAGAGATCACAGCGACACGTGAGAGTGGCTGTAGTGATGATAGTAGCATTAACAGAGCTACAGGGAGATGAAAGCTACACGTGAGAGTGGCTGTAGTGATGATAGTAGCATTAACAGAGCTACAGGGAGCTGACAGCGAGACGAGAGAGTGGCTGTAGTGATGATAGTAGCATTAACAGAGACACAGGGAGATGACTGTGACACGAGAGAGTGGCTGTAGTGACGATAGTAGCATTAACAGAGCCACAGGGGGATGACAGTGACACGTGAGAGTGGCTGTAGTGATGATAGTAGCATTAGCAGAGCTACAGGTAGATGACAGTGAGACGTGAGAGTGGCTGTAGTGACGATAGTAGCATTAACAGAGCTACAGGGAGATGAAAGCTACACGTGAGAGTGGCTGTAGTGATGATAGTAGCATTAACAGAGCTACAGGGAGCTGACAGCGAGACGAGAGAGTGGCTGTAGTGATGATAGTAGCATTAACAGAGACACAGGGAGATGACTGTGACACGAGAGAGTGGCTGTAGTGACGATAGTAGCATTAGCAGAGCTACAGGTAGAGATGACAGCTACACGAGAGAGTGGCTGTAGTGATGATAGTAGCATTAACAGAGCGACAGGTAGAGATGACTGTGACACGAGAGAGTGGCTGTAGTGACGATAGTAGCATTAACAGAGCCACAGGGAGATGACAGTGACACGTGAGAGTGGCTGTAGTGACGATAGTAGCATTAACAGAGCTACAGGTAGAGATGACAGCTACACGTGAGAGTGGCTGTAGCGATGATAGTAGCATTAACAGAGCTACAGGTAGAGATGACAGTAACACGAGAGAGTGGCTGTAGTGACGGTAGTAGCATTAACAGAGCCACAGGTAGAGATGACAATGACACGTGAGAGTAGCTGTAGTGACGATAGTAGCATTAACAGAGCTACAGGGAGAGATGACAGTGATACGTGAGAGTAGCAGTAGTGACGATAGTAGCATTAACAGAGCTACAGGGAGATGACAGCGAGATGTGAGAGTGGCTGTAGTGATGATAGTAGCATTAACAGAGACACAGGGAGATGACAGTGACACGTGAGAGTGGCTGTAGTGACGATAGTAGCATTAACAGAGCTACAGGGAGATGACAGCGAGATGTGAGAGTGGCTGTAGTGATGATAGTAGCATTAAGAGAGCTACAGGGAGCTGACAGTGACACGTGAGAGTGGCTGTAGTGACGATAGTAGCATTAACAGAGCTACAGGGAGAGATGACAGTGACACGTGAGAGTGGCTGTAGTGACGTTAGTAGCATTAGCAGAGCTACAGGGAGATGACAGCGAGATGTGAGAGTGGCTGTAGTGATGATAGTAGCATTAACAGAGCTACAGGTAGAGATGACAGTGACACGAGAGAGTGGCTGTAGTGACGATAGTAGCATTAACAGAGCTACAGGTAGAGATGACAGTGACACGAGAGAGTAGCTGTAGTGACGATAGTAGCATTAACAGAGCTACAGGGAGAGATGACAGTGACACGTGAGAGTGGCTGTAGTGATGATAGTAGCATTAACAGAGCTACAGGGAGATGACAGCGAGATGTGAGAGTGGCTGTAGTGATGATAGTAGCATTAACAGAGCTACAGGGACGGCACAGCAGTCCTCCCTGTAAGGGTGATGAGTGGTGCGGTTGTTGCTGCTGCTGCTGTTGCTGAGTAAATACGATGATGATAGTCACGATGATGATGTCTCCTCATTATCCCCAGCACTTCTCCTGCTGTATGACATCACAAGCAGGACCTCCTTCGACAACATTCGCGTGAGTCGATTCACAACAGCGGCGTCAGGGTCACCGATTCACCGCCACGTGTTGAGATCCTGGGTTCCAGGTTCAATCCCAGGGTCTCACACTTTTGGAGGATTCGTAATGGCCGTGTCTGAGACGGCACGTCAGCAGCACCACTGATAACCCGAGATGTGAACCCAGGTTTCAGCTGCCCGTGGTTCAAGCGGGTTCTCTGTGACTCCCAAAGCGACCCGTAGATTCACCCGTAGACTTGGACAGATAACCATAGACTTACATAGACTGAGCTGGGATTAAACCGGGTTCTCAGGTGCAGTGAGTTGATGGTATCAGACTTAGAGACCCATAGACTCACACAGAGACTCATATAAACTTAGATACCCATAGACTCACACAGCGGCTCATAGACCTATAGACCCATAGACTCACCTAGAGACCCATAGACTTAGAGACCCATAGACTCACACAGAGACTAGCATAGACTTAGAGACCCATAGACTCACATAGAGACCCGTAGACTTAGAGACCCATAGACTCACACAGAGACTCATATAAACTTAGATACCCATAGACTCACACAGAGACTCATACAAACTTAGATACCCATAGACTCACACAGAGACTCATATAAACTTAGATACCCATACTCACACAGAGACTAGTATAGACTTAGATACGTATAGACTCACACAGAGATTGGTATAGATTTAGAGACCCATAGACTTAGATACCCATAGACTCACACAGAGACCCATAGACTCACACAGAAACTAGCATAGACTTAGAGACCCATAGACTCACACAGAGACCCATAGACTTAGATACCCATAGACTCACACAGAGACTCATATAGACTTAGAGACCCATAGACTCACATAGAGACTAGTATAGACTTAGATACCCATAGACTCACACAGAGACCCATAGACCTAGAGACCCATAGACTCACATAGAGACTAGTGTAGACTTAGAGACACATAGACTCACACAGAGACTAATATAGACGTAGAGACGCATAGACTCACAAAGAGACCCATAGACCTAGAGACCCATAGACTTACACAGAGACTCATAGACCTAGAGACCCATAGACTCACATAGAGACCCATATAAACTTAGAGACCCATAGACTCACACAGAGACTAGTATAGACTTAGAAACCCATAGACTCACACAGAGACTCATGTAAACTTAGATACCCGTAGACTCACACAGGGACTAGTATATACTTAGATACCCATAGACTCACATAGAGACTCATATAAACTTAGATACCCATAGACTCACACAGAGAGGTCTGGAGACTGGCTAGGCCACTCCAGGACCTTAATTTGCTTCTTCTTGAGCCACTTTTTTGTTGCCTTGGCCCTGTGTTTTGGGTCATTGTCATGCTGGAATACCCATCCACGACCCATTTTCAATGCCCTGGCTGAGGGAAGGAGGTTCTCACCCAAGATTTGACGGTACATGGCCCCATCCATAGTCCCTTTGATGCGGTGAAGTTGACCTGTCCCCTTAGCAGAAAAACACCTCCAAAGCATAATGTTTCCACCTCCATGTTTGACGGTGGGGATGGTGTTCTTGGGGTCATAGGCAGCATTCCTCCTCCTCCAAACACGGCGAGTTGAGTTGATGCCAAAGAGCTCCATTTTGGTCTTATCTGACCACAACACTTTCACCCAGTTGTCCTCTGAATCATTCAAATGTTCATTGGCAAACATCAGATGGGTTTGTAGACAGTGAGGGAAAAAAGTATTTGATCCCCTGCTGATTTTGTACGTTTGCCCACTGACAAAGAAATGATCAGTCTATAATTTTAATGGTAGGTTTATTTGAACAGTGAGAGACAGAATAACAACAACAAAATCCATAAAAACGCATGTCAAAATGTTATAAATTGATTTGCATTTTAATGAGGGAAATAAGTATTTGACCCCTCTGCAAACATAACTTAGTACTTTGTGGCAAAACCTTTGTTGGCAATCACAGAGGTCAGACGTTTCTCGTAGTTAGCCACCAGGTTTACACACATCTCAGGTAGGAATTTTGTCCCACTCCTCTTTGCAGATCTTCTCCAAGCCATTTAGGTTTCGAGGCTGACGTTTAGCAACTCGAACCTTCAGCTCCCTCCACAGATTTTCTATGGGATTAAGGTCTGGAGACTGGCTAGGCCACTCCAGGACCTTAACGTGCTTCTTCTTGAGCCACTCCTTTGTTGCGTTGGCCGTGTGTTTTGGGTCATTGTCATGCTCGAATACCCATCCACGACCCATTTTCAATGCCCTGGCTGAGGGAAGGAGGTTGTCACCCAAGATTTGACGGTACATGGCCCTGTCCATTGTCACTTTGATGCGGTGAAGTTGTCCTGTCCCCGAAGCAAAAAACACCCCCAAAGCATAATGTTTCCACCTCCATGCTTGACGGTGGGGATGGTGTTCTTGGGGTCATAGGCAGCATTCCTCCTCTTTGGTTTTTTCGGTAAAGTCACGTATAAATAAGAGATAATAAAATAACATAATAGCGTACGACGTTTTGGTTGCAACACAAGCAGCCATCATCAGGTACAGAAGAGCTACATTTACGAGAGAGAGGAAACACATAACCCCAGATGTATATACAGACACCCAAGTAGGGGGGAACTAACACAGACACAACAGGGGACACAGAGAGAGAAGCATACCAAACAAACAGGGTTTAGCAAAATTTGGAAACCATATATAGCAATACAGACGGTCGGTCAAAACACAATTAACGCATAGTCTGGTTGATTACGCTATTTCAAAGATTGCTAAATTGTAAGTTAAGTGTGAAATTTAAAATACAGACCGCGCACACACACACACATAGACATCTAAGTAGAGCGAACCAGCACAGACACGCACACAGTGAAGTCGCCTTAAATAGGCAGATAAGGTAAGGCTGAGAGACAATGGGACAATTTAGCATGAGGTATGCATGGAGCAAAGGGGGCGCAGCAGCACACACTCGGAAACACCAAGGCCCACACACAGGCAGAGACAGCACAGAGACACAAATCCAAGCCAAGACACAAAGGCAGATGCACAAGCAGAGAAAACACAAAGACACAGATCTTATACCTCCCCGTAAAGGTGGTTCAGACTTGATTCGAAGCTTTCGTGACTGCAGGAATTACTCTTTGTTTGTTTCGGTAAAGTCACGTATAAATAAGAGATAATAAAATAACGTAATATTATCTCTTATTTAGACGTGACTTTACCGAAAAAAAACAAAGAGTAATTCCTGCAGTCACGAAAGCTTCGAATCAAGTCAGCATTCCTCCTCCTCCAAACACGGCGAGTTGAGTTGATGCCAAAGAGCTCCATTTTGGTCTCATCTGACCACAACACTTTCACCCAGTTGTTCTCTGAATCATTCGGATGTTCATGGCAAACTTCAGACGGGCATGTATATGTGCTTTCTTGAGCAGGGGGACCTTGCGGGCGCTGCAGGATTTCAGTCCTTCACGGCGTAGTGTGTTACCAATTGTTTTCTTGGTGACTATGGTCCCAGCTGCCTTGAGATCATTGACAAGATCCTCCCGTGTAGTTCTGGGCTGATTCCTCACCGTTCTCATGATCATTGCAACTTCACGAGGTGAGATATTGCATGGAGCCCCAGACCGAGGGAGATGATAGTTCTTTTGTGTTTCTTCCATTTGCGAATAATCGCACCAACTGTTGTCACCTTCTCATCAAGCTGCTTGGCAATGGTCTTGTAGCCCATTCCAGCCTTGTGTAGGTCTACAATCTTGTCCCTAACATCCTTGGAGAGCTCTTTAGTCTTGGCCATGGTGGAGAGTTTGGAATCTGATTAATTGCTTCTGTGGACAGGTGTCTTTTATACAGGTAACAAGCTGAGATTAGGAGCACTCCCTTTAAGAGTGTGCTCCTAATCTCAGCTCGTTAGCTGTATAAAAGACACCTGGGAGCCAGAAATCTTTCTGATTGAGAGGGGGTCAAATACTTATTTCCCTCATTAAAATGCAAATCAATTTATAACATTTTTGACATGCGTTTTTCCGGATTTTGTTGTTGTTATTCTGTCTCTCACTGTTCAAATAAACCTACCATTAAAATTATAGACTGATAATTTCTTCGTCAGTGGGCAAACGTACAAAATCAGCAGGGGGTCAAATACTTTTTTTCCCTCACTGTAGATACCCATAGACTTACACAGATACTAATATAGACTTAGAGACCCATAGACTCACATATAGACTCATAGACCTAGAAACCCATAGACTCACACAGAGGCTCATATAAACTTAGATACCCATAGACTCACACAGAGACTAATATAAACTTAGATACCCATAGACTCACACAACGATCCATAAACCTAGAGACCCATAGACTCACACAGAGACTCATGTAAACTTAGATACCCATAGACTCACATAGAGACCCATAGACCTAGAGACCCATAGACTCACACAGAAACTAGCATAAACTTAGAGACCCATAGACTCACAAAGAGACTCATATAAACTTAGATACCCATAGACTCTCACAGAGACTCGTATAGACTTAGAGACCCATTGGCTCAGCCTTAAATGAGTACATGGTGGCGGTGGGGGAGACAAAGGCGGCCGGGCGTGGTGTTGACCAACCCACCCCTCCCCTCATGTGCCACCGTTCTGGCCTCCACAGGGGACTGCCCCTACAGCCTGTTTATGCCACGCAGACTCTTGATGTGCTTCATTTTAAACTGCACGGTGTATGGAGGAATATCCCACTAGTATATAGTGTTGTGGTTATTATTGTTGTTGTTATCCCCGTGTGGTGCCATGAGGCCAGACTCGTCAATGTCTGGAATGCAAAAGGCGAAACCTGCACGGCCTCCTCCGGAAAGAGGCGTGAGAATTAAGGACGTGCAGGGAAGGGGTGGAGGTGGCCCAGATGGTCCTCGTGGTACCCCAATTAATTTCGACGAAAATGTTTGGTCCCTTCGCTGATTCATTCGTGTTTTCACACACCGTTTGGTATCGAAACAAA